TTGCCCAGGCTAGAGTGCAGTGGTGTGATCTCAGCTCACTGCAACCTCACCGCCAACCAGGTTCAAGCTATTCTCCTGCCTCAGCCTCCTGAGGAGCTGGGATTACAGGCACACGCCACCACACCTAATTTTTGTACTTTTAGTTGAGACAGGGTTTCACTATGTTGGCCAGGCTGGCCTTGAACTCCTGACCTCAGGTGATCTGCCTGCCTTGGCCTCCCAAAGTGCGGGGATTACAGGTGGGAGCCACTGCACCTGGGCCCTATGAACCTGTGACCTGTCATTTCTCTCTTGTCTCTCATTACTACTTGCTTGTTGTCTACCATCTGTCCCCTCCACTGCAATGAAAATCCTTTGAAGGCAAGGACATTGCTGGGTCCCTAGCTTCTGAGTACATTTTTTTTAACGTATTTTTGGTTTTTGTTTGTTTTTTCTTTTAGAGATGGAGTCTCACTCTGTCACCTAAGCTAGAGTGCAGTGGCGCGATCTCGGCTCACCACAAGCTCTGCCTCCTGGGTTCACGCGATTCTCCTGCCTCTACTCTGGGACTATAGGCTCGCCCGCCACCACACCCAGCTAATTTTTGTATTTTTAGTAGAGATGGGGTTTCACCATGTTAGCCAGGATGGTCTTGATCTCCTGACCTCATGATCTGCCCGCCTCGGGCTCCCAAATTGCTGGGAATACAGGCATGAGCCACCATGCCTGGCTGCTTCTGAGTACACATTTAAGGGCTAACTAAATATTTGTTGGATGAATGAACCTCAAAATTTTGAGGTAGTAAGTAAAAAAGCAAGTGACAGAAGAGTATGCAGTTTTTCGTTTGTTTGTTTGAGACAGAGTCTTGCTTTGTCACCCAGGCTGGAGCACAGTGGTGTGATCTTGGCTCACTGCAACCTCCACCTCCTGGGTTCAAGTGGTTCTCCTGCCTCAGCCTCCCAAGTAGCCAGGATTACAGTCATGTGCCACCACACCTGGCTAATTTTTATATTTTTAGTAGAGATGGAGTTTTGTCATGTTGGCCAGGCTGGTCTCGAACACCCGAACTCAAATCATCTGCCCATCTTGGCCTCCCAAAGTGTGGGATTACAGGCATGAGCCACTGCACCCAGTCCCATTTTTGTTTTAAAAAGAGTCTGAGGCCGATGTGGTGGCTCACACCTCTAGTTCTTTGGGAGAACTTCTTGAGGCTAGGTGTTCGAGACCAGCCTGGGTGGGGAACATAGTGATGCCCTGACTGAAAAAGTTATTTTTTTCATTAAAATAAAAAGGGTCAGGTGCAGCGGCAGCAACTGCCATTTTTTCGTGTGTACATACATTTGTTTTGTTTTGTTATGCACAGTGCCTGGTCATAATATATCTACATCTGTATCTGTATTTTTTGAGACAGAGTCTTGCTCTGTCGCCCAGGCTGGAGTGCAGTGGCATGATCTCGGTTCACTGCAACCCCCGCCACCTGGGTTCAAGCGATTCTCCTGCCTCAGCCCCCCAAGCAGCTGGGACCACAGGCGCGTGTCACCATGCCCGGCTAATTTCTTTTTGTACTTTTAGTGGAGATGGGGTTTCACCATGCTGGCCAGGCTGGTCTCAAACTCCTGACCTTGTGATCCACCAGCCTCACCCTCCCAAAGCGTTGAGATTACAGGAGTGAGCCACTGTGCCCGGCCATAATATTTTTTAAAGAATAATGCCAGTGTGGTGGCTCATACTGTAATCCCAGCACTTTGGGAAGCCACCATGAGTGGATTGCTTGAGATCAGGAGATTTTTTCTTTTTTTTTTTTTTGAGATGGAGTCTCGCTCTGTCACCCAGGCTGGAGTGCAGTGGCGCAATCTCGGCTCACTGCAAGCTCCGCCTCCCGTGTTCATGCCATTCTCCTGCCTCAGCCTCCCGAGTAGCTGGGACTACAGGCGCCCACCACCACGCCCGGCTAAATTTTTTTGTATTTTTTTAGTAGCTACAGGGTTTCACAGTGTTACCCAAGATGGTCTCGATCTCCTGACCTCGTGATTCGCCTGCCTTGGCCTTCCAAAGTGCTGGGATTACAGGCGTGAGCCACCGCGCCCAGCTGAGATCAGGTGTTTAAGACTAGCCTGGGCAACATCTTGAAAGCCTGTCTCTACAAAAAACACAAAAAGTTAGCTGGGGCCAGGCCAGGTGGCTCATGCCTTTAATCCCAGCACTTTGGGAGGCCGAGGTGGGCAGATCACCTGAGGTAGGGAATTCAAGACCAGCCTGGCTAACATGGTGAAACCCTGTCTGTACTAAAAATATAAAACTAGATGGGAATGGTGGTGCGCTTGGTAATCCCAGCTACTTGGAAGGCTGAGACAGGAGAATCCCAGGAAGGGATACAACCTACATTAAATAATAATAAAAAGGAAAGACAAACTAAATTCCTTCTGTTTCCACATCCAAAACAAAGGTCATTGTGAATGGGATTCTTGCTAATTTGAGAATTACTCACAGAGCTTCTCACCAGGATTTCTGTAACTTGCTTCCTAAATGCTCACACGGTCTCACATTCCACTCCCTCTCCCCAGTCCCACAAAACCACTAGCAAATGCATTATCCATTTACAGTGAAATGATTTTACCTAGAAGTAAATAGAATTGTTTCATTCCCCTAATTAAAATCCTTCAATGGCTCCTCTTGCTGCTATAGGGATATATATAATTAAAGCCCCTCTGTATGACTAATAAGGCCCTTCAGCTCTGATCTCTCTCTAACTTTTCAGACTCACCCATGTGTGGCATCCCCACGTACCCCTTTTCAGCTGTTCTGATTTACACACAGTTCCCGCATGTCCCATACACTCTGACATCTCTGTGCCGTTGAGGATGCTTACCTTTACCTAGAATGTCCTACTCTCTTCTCCAGTTCACTCTGATTTCTCTGCCAAGACTCAGTCCTAGCTCTACCTTATCTTATAAGCATGTCCTGATACCCCCTCCTAGCGTGAGTTAGATGCTCTTTTCAGCTCCTTCCAGGAGAGAAATCTTCAAAGCCAATAGAATTAAAGTATGACTTTTGGTAAGGAAAGTTATGAATCTCAGGCCAATAGACAATGAACAAGAGTCAAATATTTTATTTAACTCATTAATTGAAGAGAGAACCAGTAAGATCTAAACACCGGTCCTAGGCTCATTTGAGAAGCTGAATGTATATAGGCAATTTAATCGATTGATGGGTTAGATACAGAACTGGTTAATGTGTATCTGGTCTATAAGCCTTTGGGTTGTATGTTCTATCAGACAGGAGTTATTTGCATTCTATTGAATAAAAATTTTCACAGTAACCTTTGCTGCTACAGAGTTGTAAAATAGAAAATCAACAGAAGGTCACATGAACCACTGTCCTGGAAAACACCATGTCATTTGAGGCCTCTTTTCAATTGTTGGATAATTTTTCTGACAACAGACAGAGCTTTTGGTGGAAGTGGAAGTTCACATTTAACATACAGAAGACTACCAAAGTTTTACCAACCAAGTCTTATTTTGGCATGAAAACATGACATGCGAGTAGAAAAATGAATTAAACATATGAACTGACAAATGAGAATAAATAAAAATGACAAGCATACTGAAACTGTTCACTCTCACAAGGAGTTTAAGAAATCCTAGTGAAAACAGTAAACAATCTCCCCTGACAAGTTAATAAAAACAGGCTTAGATGATGCTATCCACTATTAGCAAGACTTGGAGGGAAACAAACACTTCCATAATTAGCATATGGGAATATAAACTGAGAGCAGCTTCCTGGACCTGCGGCTCATATGCCAGTCCCTCGTGCTCTTGTCCATTGTGTGTTACTGCACAGTACTGCGCAACAGTAGAAAAATGTCAGCGATAGAACCCGAAGAACCTCCATCTGCCCTAGAACCTGCAACTTGTGCTAGGACCACCACTGTATTATTCCCGAGTCTGGTAAGGCAGAGAGGTCTCCAAAGCAGTCATATTCTGCTTCTAATTTTAAAAAAATCATCCAGTCATACCCTCCGAGGGAAGCCACTGTTGAAAAAGACACAGAATGAGAAGGTTTGCCACGTCTTGAAATCAAGAGGCTAGTGCTGTTGCCTTGGTGCCTTTCATCGTTTATTTTGTGACCTTTTGCCTTATTGTAGCCTCCTCCCCAATTCCATCTCCCTTCTCTCCTCTTACTACTACTACACACACACAGACAGACAGACACACACACACACACACACAGATCCAGTAAACTCATTCACATAATGTTTCCTGATTTGTGTTGCTGCTTGCAAAGGTGTTTCCATTTCAAAGGAAAATGTCTGTTTATCCTATTTGGGCAATATGTAACCAAAATCTCTGTTGACAGAATTCAAACCTTCTTTGGATAGGGAAGGAAAAACAAAGAAAAAGATTGACAGAGGAAGTAAATGCTTTGGAGACCAAGTACCTAAGTGATGTACTTTCATAAATAAAAGATACGGTTAAGAAATGCAAAGTTGTGGCCTGGAGCAGTGGCTCACGCCTATAATCCCAGCACTTTGGGAGGCCGAGGCAGACAGAATACCAGGTCAAGAGATCAAGACAATCTTGGCTAACACAGTGAAACCCCGTCTCTACTTAAAAATACAAAAAATAAGCTGGGTGTGGTAACAGGCACCTGTAGTCCCAGCTACTTGGGAGGCTGAGGCAGGAGAATCACTTGAACCCGGCAGGCAGAGGTTGCAGTGAGCCCAGATCTGGCCACTGCACTCCAGCCTGGGCAACAGAGTGAAACTC